TACAAAAAGGTACTCATGAAAGTTAGAATACGAGCTAAAAGGTAGTCGCTAACAGGCAGCAAACCCTAACCGCAGAGCTAAGTACATCTCCTCTTCTTAAGAGAAGAAACTTAGGGAGATAAAGTTTGCTATAGCAGGTCACACTTAGGTATCACTAGGACAACCGGGTAGGTCACTCTTTAATATAAATACCTAAATAGGTAAACCTTGTAAAATAAAACAAATTTATTGTAAAATTACAAAGGATTAAATAAAGTAGTGGCAGGACTGCTGAATTTAAAAAAAAAAAAATTCAAAGTTTGATTTTATTTTCAAAAAAAAAATTCAAAACAATTATTCTACTAAGATGTATTTGACAATTATATATATAAAGTTGTAGATAGTTATAGATCATAATAACATTTTTTACTAAACTTTTTAAGTTAGTTCAGAAGTAAGTAAATAAATTATTGTTGTAAAAATAAAAGTTAGTATAGTTAGTAATTTTGGTTTTAATACTATAAACAATATGAATTTTATTATAATAACAATAATTCTACTAAGATACTCTTTTAATTATTGTATTAAAAATTTTAATTTTATATATACAAATATTTAAATAAGGTTATATAAAGATTGTATTACTTTAAATACTTGTAATATAATATAATTATTAAAAAATAGATTATGTAAAATAGAAGTAAAATTAGAGAAATTTGATCTAAGAAAAAGATTATAAAAAATAAAAAGAAAATAAAAGTAAAGAATAGTATAATTAGACAAAATAGAGTTATTAAAAAGATATATATAAGTTTTATAATAAGTATTGTTAATAGAAAAAGTAATACTAAAGACAGTATTATTATAATTATATTTTCAATATGTTATATAAAAGATTGAATAGTTTAACTATAAGAAAGAAATAATAAGTTGTAATAAAAAAAAATTATTAAAATATATATAAAGATTATAAAGTATTAAAAATATTAAAAATGATCTTCTAAAGTTGTCTTTTACAAGATTGATTACTATATGCTTGCTTTTATAGCTATACAAGATATCATAGTCTGCTTTGTATATTGAGTCTGATCATTATTATTCTAACCTTCTATATATAGAAACTTAATTATTTATTTACATACTTTATTCTTCTTATTAACCACAATTAGTTGTATTTTTTAGAAAACAATAAATATATTTATGTATTTTGTAGAAGACAAATAAGTTTATATATGTTTTATTTATTATTATATAACTAATTATACTAAATAACTATATAGTTTTTATTTTACATATTTATACTAATTCTTATATGGTTTTATATTATATTTACACTAACTATTTTATAATATTCAAAGATATATTTATATATATTAGTTTATATTTTTTTATATTTTTAATTATAAACTTTTTACAGTTATTGTTTTTTAGATATAAATACGTATTATACTTAAAACTTTTCAAATAATCTTTTTAATTAGTATTTTTATAAATTTTTAACACATATCTATTACAGATCTGTTACTAATTTTACTTAGTTTATATTACAAATTACAGCTAATAAACTAATATTTTTCTAATTAACATTCTATTCAAGACATACTAATATTTTTAATTAAGTCAATATCTCACTTAAGGTATATAAAGTTTAATATTCAATATTCATCACTAGTAAGAATTGAAACTTGAATCTTATTATTTAAAGTACAACAGCTTGATCATTTTGCTAAGTTGCTACATCTAATAATAATTGTATTAATAATATATTTATGCTTGTGTATTAGTAATATATTTAGAGTTAACAATTTTGATAAGCTATTAAGATTCATTAATAATGAGTTAAATTTGTTAAAAATGTTTGTTGTTAAGTATAAACCAGCAACTAAGAAATTTAAAAGATATTTAAAATAAATAAATAGAAAATGTATAGTTGTTAAAAATAATAGGATTGTAATTAGATGATGAGTTGTTAGTAATAAGAATAGATTTAAAAGGATTGACTCTTAGATAACTTTCTTGTTTATAAAATATAATATAATTTAAAAATAAGATTTTTACTACAAATAACCAGTAGTGATCATCACCGCTTCTATTTTTAGAGTTAGGATGCAGGTTTAGGATAAGACAGAGGTCAGATATAAAGGTTTAAATTTTAGTTACAAGTAGGTTTCTGGGGGTTTTGAACATTTTTACTTAATATATCTGACCCTTGTTTCTTAGTCCCGCTTTTGAGATATTGCAGCCCGGTGATGGTTACCACCGGTTATAGTTAGTAAAATTCTAAAAATAATATACATAGTATTTATATAGAATATTTGATTAACTTATATAATTTGCTAATATTTTTTTATTTAAAAATATAGTATAATCTATTATAAATTATTTATTATATTTTTTATTTAATTATATTAATATTTATTAAATTTGTATAAATATTTAGCTTTAAATAAACAATGTTATGCAAGTTATTTAGCATATATTAATGCAAATAATATATAACAGACTAAATTACTTTCAGAAATAATAATTATAATTGCACCAGATATCTTTATTATTAGCTGAACTAGAAATATGTAGTATTAACCAACAGTCTCTTATACTGCATAAAGAAGATTAGCTTTGATACAAAATTTTAAACTATTACAAAATGACAGGATTCATATAGAGTGGAAATATTTGTGAATGAATATTGGTTTTTGTAAAGATATCACGATTTGCTAATAATTTACAGCTTAAATACAATTCTGACAATAACATTATTATTAGCAGTTATATCATGGTCAAAACCTTACGATGTGTTAGCGAAATTAAGAAACAATTGGTCACCAACTCCAATAATTTTGTTCCCAAATTAAATCAATGTTAAACCCTGAAAGAAAATTTCGGACCCCTGATCTGTACCGATAACGAGTCTAACCCATCTTCCCACCCGACCCATCTCATTAGACATAGGAATTTATTAAAATGACGCATCATAACTTTGGGGATGTTGATTATCTCAGTAAAATCTATATTTACACATTAGTAGTCAAAATTTTCAAATTTTGAGGTATTTCGCAAATGCGCTTATCTGATTTAGTGTGCTAGTTCACACAACATCAGCTTATCCGCATACTCGATTAAAAGATTAACGTTAATGGCTGTACAGACACTTTTAGATCTGACCAGGTTGTTTTCAGCTTATTCCTGCTTTCAGATCTGTTGATTTTCAGCCACCTTGAATCATTATCCAAAAACCGGGTTAAAACTAACTTTATTTACACAAAATCAAAAACTAATCTGGGTTACTATTTTAATCTGGTATTTGATTATCGTAATAAACTGATACGGTTTTACAACAAAATTCAAGCATATCATTAAATCAAACAGGAGGAACCTTCACCCGGTGTGCAGCATATAAAAAAATTAATTTGCAATACCAGATCATTCCGCTAGTACATGTTATGATTATAATCCCTCACCGTTTTATTATAATAAAAATGATGTGAGATTATAATCATAACATGTACTAGCGGAATGATCTGGTATTGTAAAATAATTTTTTATATGCTGCACACCGGGTGAAGGATCAGTCGTGTAACATCGACGGTTCCTCCTGTTCATTAAATATCTTTATGCCGATGCTATTACTAAATCTATATTATATGTTAATAAACTTATTTTTAATATATACCACAAATAAGAGGATTTTTATTTATACCTTATAGGTATGATACTAGGTGTAAGAAAAGAAATCAAAAATCGTTAATATCCCAAAATTTTATTAGGAAAACCGATGCAGGTATTCTAAGTCAAAATGGTCAGCGTCTAATTTATATAAAAATACACCTTTAACTCTAACCTACTCTAACTTACCTAACCTAATATAGAATATTTATTTCATAGCGGATACCATACCCTATGTGTATTTTTAGAAATTTTCCATAATGAAATAACCTAATAATATTTATTAATTGTTATAATTGCAAGAAATAAAAAATAAAAATATTTTACAGGTCTTATATAACCAATGCTTTTTTTTTTACTTATGTATTGGCATAGAATTTATAAAATTATACATTTCTATACAATAATCATATTTAAATATTAGTCATATTAGATTAAAGAAATCATTAGTTAAACAAATAATGCATCTAAAAATTTTTATAAATTAAGCTTGAATTTTATAGTTACAAAGATATATCAAATAAAAGAATTAATTACAAGATGAACTACTTTTTATTAAAGTTTTGTTATAATCACCAAAGATATTTTAATATTGTCATTTACTTAGTCATTTTTATACTTGCAAAGTTTTTTGCTTATAAATTAATCTTGTAAATTATTAAATTTTCAAAAATGTTTTTTTTATTTTACATTACATTATAATTATAATTATAAAATTTTGTGATATTTAAAAGTTTATACACATACTTGGATGTTGAAAATATTGATTATTTAGCATTAATCCAATTTTGAGTGCAAGAACCCCACTGGTAATCTATATCATAAAAAGATTTAATAACCAATTTAAAGATAATTGATATTGAGATTTAATATTGAAACTAGTTTTGAAAAAATATATATATAATGAATATATATATATATTGCAATTAAGAAAGAAATTTAAGTATATTTGGAAATTTCTTTATAAATTTAAAAGCTTAAAGTATAGTAAGATTTATATAAACCTACATCATAACTATAAAATCTTAAGAAATTCCAAATCCACTTAAATACCATTCTCACTTACATATACATACGTACCAAAATTGCTAGCGGGATCACAATAACATCTACCAGAGTTATGGTAAGCAATGTCAACTGGACAATGTTGAAAAGGTGGATGAGAGTATCCTATATCATTAAAGAAATGAATTTTTGATTTTTCCAGGAATAGAAGTAGTGCTATTGAATGAATTGGTGCATCTCCCCAACTTTTTTTTTAGTATATAGTATATGAAAATAAGTAGTTAATTCAGTAATTAATAGCTAATTAGGTTAACAAAAGAAATTTTAACTATATAATTATTAAATATAACCTACCGTTCATAATAAAAACCACCAGCATGATCTAGAAAATCAAAAAATTTGAGGTATTTTTCGCTTCTATAAAAACTCAAGTCACCAATCTCAAAATTACTCCAAAAGTGGCAACTATTTAGGCAAAGATATTTTTTGAGGAATTATAATATTTAATAAAATAACAAAAGAATAAAATAACAGAAGAATAAAATAACAAAAGAATAAAATCACAAGAGAATAAAATAATAAGAGAATAAAGTAAAAAGAGAATAAAGTAACAAAATAATAAAATAACAAGAAGATAAGAATAAGAACAAACCCATTATAAGTAGCCATGTCATCTGGGGTTATAAAACTAGCAAAATTATTATCAGAAATAAATTGAGGGTATTTATAAAAGAAATCAATTACAGATTTCCATAGAGTAGGAATAGTCTCAGATACTTCTAAAAGTGCAATAGTAAAACCATAAGTAATATTGTTCTCTTTAATAAATTTGAAAGCGTCGTAGTTAATATCGCAAGTAAAATCAACACCGGGTTCTAATCTCCAATAATAATCATATTTTTCTATGAGTTCATGACGAAAGAAAAAACCGGAATTGAAACGACACATGTGACGGTAAGATTCCGAATCACCGTACAAGACATGCCTGAAACCCATATCTCTACGAGTGTCAGCGGCTCTTTGTTGGTCTATCCATGGTGGATAGCCCCACATGTGTTGTGGTATTAAACCTATGAATATGAACAATAAAATAAATAAACTGGAGACCTTTGATATAGAGATCAGGAGGGAATTACTTATACAAACCATAAGAAGTCTTTGCATTTGTAAGGGCACTTGTCATAGTCTTAAATTCATCGGTAAACTCTTGATCATTTAGAAATACATAAGGATAATTAAATTTTTTATTCCACCTATCTTCAAAAGATCTCATAGTTCTTCGTAATTGGTGTAATTCAGAATTTCGAACAAGAACGATTATTACAGCATTAAGTCGTGTATCATCTTGGGTATCTTGTGTGTTACTATCTTGCGTATCAGCCTGTATATCGTTAAGTTGAGTTTTATCATCTGACATATCGTTATGTTGGGTATTATCATCCTGGGTATCATTAACTTGAGTATTATCATCCTGGGTATCATTAACTTGAATATTATCATCCTGGGTATCATTAACTGGAGTATTATCATTCTGGGTATCATTAACTTGAGTATTATCATCCTGGGTATCATTAATTTTAGTATTATCAACTTTGGTATCATTAATTTTATTGTCATCAGCCTGCGAATCATCAGCCTGCGTATCGTTAAGTTGAGTATCATGAGTTACAATCTGAGTATCAAACTGAGTATCAGACTGAATATTACCGACCCGGACATCATCGGTTTGGGTATCATCAGTTTTCGCGTCATTAACATTGATATCGTTAATTTGTGTGCTATTATCAACTTGCTGAAGCGTGGCATTAGTATTAGAATCGATAGTATGAGTGAGTGTTAAATCAACTTGCGTAACAGTAGTACTATCTTCGTTCGATTTAAAAGTGACATCATTCGTATTAGAGATCGGAGGTTCAATTAACATCGATACATCGAGAATGTATAAAGATAAAGTGAATATTAAGATGATTATAATAGTTCTTCCCAATAAGGAGCGAAAATGTAAAGAAAACCATAATATCATTTCTATTTTTCTATTATACCGACTAATTAAAGACAACTGTAAAAGAAGAAAATTGTTGAACGATCTCATTCGCATCACTATTTATCAGATTTTCATAATAACCGTGTAACGTCGTACATTTCCACTTGTAAAACGCTTGCAGCATGCCAAGAGTTAACATTCTTGGATCGAGTTCTTAAGATCTTCAAATTCTTGATTTTCAGATTCAATATCAATATATTACAACCTCGAGAATAAACATATCTGAGTAAAGAAATAATCTAATATATGTAGCACAATGGTCGTAAAAAAACGGATAGGCAATTTTAACTCGGATGAAATTGTAAATAGTGATAGTTCCAATTGCATGTACAAAAAAGGCTTTGAATTTAATTGAACACAAAAATGTTGTACGTATAATCATCGGTACACATCTGTACATTATGAATTTTTTTTATAAAAGGCGCATATTTGTATGCACGTACGCGCATACAAACAATCACAATTTCTTGGCCTTAAATTTAATGTCTAAAATACTTGCTTAGATTTAGTCAATATTCGCGTCCGTGTTACACGTTTTTATGTTTAAAGCTTTTTTTTTTTGATATCCATATTTAAAAATCATATGCATAGGAAATATTGAAAGTTCAAAGGTAGCACTGAAAGATTCTAATCATATCGGTATTTAGTATCGAGGCTATGTTCGATAAGTTATAAACTTAAATACCTTTTTTCTAGGAATCATTCACAATTTTTTATCTTCGAATTATAACTTTTGGATGTCCAAGTTAATCTAAGTGTTAGAATGATAGTAATTAATTATAGTCGATCCTCGATAATATCAACCTCGATTACTGGACTATATTAAAATTTCCTTATATGATTTATATATAATCATACTCAGATCGTTATGATTATTAGTTAAATAAAGTGATAGAATGAAAAAATGTCACAGAGTATGGGGGCTTTGTAGCAGAAAGAGCCCAAAAAATATGAATTTGAGCTAATCCAATTTATTGTTATCATCAATTCTTTAAAAATTTGATCGGCCGAATCGGAATCGGATTTTCGGCATTACAATAACTCGATACACAATTTGGCCGATTAATCTTTATCGGCTGTCCCAGAATTTATGAAAGCAGCTGTAAAATTTATTTATGCCAATCGATTTTCGCACCGAAATTTATCCGAATTTTACAAAATCTTTATTGATTCCGGGAGCATTCTACTGAAAAAAATATTTTCTTACAGCTGTTATAATTATTCCTGGTACACCTTATGAAAAACTAAACGAATAATTATTCAGCCGATTCGATAAGTTATTGATACAACGTTTATTAAATTGGTTACTAACCTCTATTTACAGTGCAACAGTGACAATTATTAATCGATAATGACCAGATAACCAATATCGATATAACTCTGAAAAATATTTACTGGAAAATAGTCGAAAAAACTTTAGGCAATAAGTTCGAATAATTGCTAAACACTTAGATGTTAGCAAATCTTCAATAAGTTGAGTTCTTAAACAATTTTAAAGATATGGATGTGGTGAAAGACTTCTGCCACTTGTAAGAAAACTAGTTTACTAAACCCTGAACGATATATAAAATATTTTAAGATTTTAATTGAAGAGAAGCCTTACTGCCATTTTTATGAGTTACAATCTGAGATAGAACTTTGAAAACAAAGATTTTCAAGTTTAATACAAAGCTTAACATAAATTTATTCAAATGTATAATACGTATGCAAGTTGAATTGTGTAAACTAATTACATTATTACCAATATATAAAGAAAAAAAACCAAAAAATAATCTTTCACTATTATTGGCTACAACCGTGCCTAAAAGCAGTGTTGTCACTGGAAGGTCACTGGAAGCCACTGGAAGTAAATCAATAATATCACTGAAACTTTAAGTTCCAGTGACACTGCTAAAAGTACTCACAATTCTTGAGGATACTGTATATACATAGTTTTAGATTATCTCCGTAAATAATAAACGTTACATTGATCATGCCAAATCAGTAACTTATCGAATCGGCTGAGTAATCATTCGGTTAATTTTTCATAAAGTGTCCCAGGAATAATGTAATGAGATTTACCATAAAAAAATTTAAATTAAATACCTAATTGAATACATAAATTATATCAGTTGTAATTTTAAGTAATCTTAAAAACATGTATTTCGCCAATAGAATTTTTTTTTCGCTAAAGTTGATGTCAATCAGTGGCTTTCACCTTTATTGTAGTTTTAATTATATATTTACATATATAACTTGTACAAGGTGAGTATGTAGCTAGTCACATATACAACTTTTGGTTATCTATTTAAGTAGTCCATCTACAGGTTCTATACTAGTTGTCATACCTGTAATCTGCTAGGAGATTACCTATTTAAACACTCTGATTCTTTTTTTTTTTTTTTTTTAAATATTAACAGACACTCTGATTCTTATACTGTATTAGTTAAAAAATATTGTAGTTTTTGTACACCTAAGTATCATCTAACCTGACATATAGCCTTTTTTTTTCATATAACTGTCAAGTCATTACTCATTTCAGAACACATCATTTGACTTTAAGGTGCAAAGTGTCTTCCTATTAACTAACCTGCCTACTCTATAAATTATTAACATGATTATGTTCTTGCAAAATTTACCTAGACCTCAGTACCTATTTTTACAACATATTTACAGTATTTTTAGTATACTTCTGCTTTGTCATTAGACTTTCAATTCAGATAGTCTAGTAGAATTATAACTTGTTTTTGGTATATTAAGTTTAGGCTAATATCTGTTTTCTCTAGTTTGAGACTTTTGGTTGTCTAGTTGGTGATACTTGTTATTTAGAGTCTCATGTTTGCTTAATTTTTTCATATTAGTATCTGTTTTTTAGATCTAGTCTTTATAATAATACTGTTAAAGATTATATTATTTCTCTATTTAAGTTTTTTCAAATAGGTTTCAGTTTTTTTTAGTTTTACAAATTTATTTAGTTACAAGAATTTATCTTAAGTTTGTATCACCTAGTACTGGTTTGTATTTTTCTACATAATTAAGTTACATAAATGTCTTATAACTTGTTAGTTATATTAGTATAATTATAGTTACAGATATCTTATTCTAACTAATCAATAAAATGTTATTATTATAATATAAATATTATATAACTAATTATCTAAATTTTTGTTATTAGAAGTTTTGAATTTATAATCTATTACTTAGAAGTTGATAACTTATTCACTTCACTAAGTTACCATATTCTAATAAAAATATTTTTTATTTTTTTTTTATTTATTTTTTTTTAAAGGTCATATTTGTGGTAATATTTTATTAACTTACATTGGGTTAGCTATTACAACTATTTTTACAAAGATAAGAGTACAGCTAGTTATATATACAATTTTTAGTTGCCTATTTAAGTAGTCCATTCTAAGGTTCTATACTAGATGCCATATCTATAACCTACTAGAAGATTATCTATTTAAATCCTCTAATCATCTATCCTATTATATTGAAATCCCAACTTACCTTCTATATATACCTAACTGGTATACCATCTGAGCAATATGGTATCTACACTTTTTGTACTAGTTTCTAAATTGTTACATATTTCAGAGTACATTATTTGCCAGTAAGGTGCAGAGGACTTCCTATTGTTAGTTATCTACCTATTTTTAGAACACTAACATGAACTATCCTTATAGAGTTTACCCAGACCCCAGTACTGACTTCACAGTATATCTCTAGTACTTTTAGTATACTCCTGCTTTGAACTTAGACTCTCAATTCAGATAGCCCAGAAGGACTGTAACTTGTTTTTAATATATTGAGACTGGCCCAATATTCTTTTTCTCTGGTTTGAAATCTGGCAGCCTAGTTGGTGGTACCCCTTATCTAAGGTTTTTGTTTGCCTGATTCCTTTACATTGATATTCATTTTCTAGGTCTAGTCTTTACAGTAGTACTGTTAAAGATTTGTGTTATCTCTCTACTTAGAATTTCTAAGTAAGCTTTAGCTTCTCAGTTTTACAGATTTATATAGTTCAAGAACTTATTTTAGGTTTGCACCACCTGGTACTAGTTTGCATTCCTTTATGTAACAAATTATACAGATGCCCCAAACCTGCCAGTCATGCTGGTGTGACCATAGTTACAGATATTCTATCTTAACTGATCAACAAAATGTCATCACCATAATATCATCTATATATCATATAGGTGATTATCCAAATTTTACTATTAGTGAATTTTGAACTTACAACCTACCACTTGAGGGTATGACAACTTATTCACTTCACTAAATTGCCACACCCTAATATTTTTTATTTTATTTATTTATAATTTTAGAAAATATTTTATTTTTTTTAAATTTTATATTGTATTATTATAGACAAAAAGTAATAATTTCTTTTGTTATAAAAATATTATATGTTTCTAAAAAGATAAAATACTTACATATAAATTTATTAAGTTACTAGTTTTAAATATAAATATATTCATTTCAAAGTTTATTGTTTTTTTTTTTTCAGGTTTAAAGAGTGACGTCTATGACTCGTGATCTTTTATTAAGACTTACAACCTACAAATATTGTAGGGGGTATTACATTTTGCATATCAATGAGGCTACAATTAGCTATTTGTACAACTTGTCATTGTCTATTTAAAGGTTCTGCCTACAGGTTACCTACTAATTGCTATACCTGAAACCCGTCTGTAGGTTTCCTATTTAAAGTCTCTGATTTTCAATATTTTTTCTGTAGTACCAACTTAATTTTTTAATAACAGACCTTAGGGCTACTTTACCCTCAATGCAAAACTCTACTGAATAGAAGTAGATCCCATGACTACACCTATTTGGATTTATGGTGCCAGAGGTGATTCTATATTAGGTAAGGCCAATACTTTCCACAAACGTTGATG